GGGCCGGCACACACCAGCCCCCACCAGGGAAGCCGAGAGCCAACCACCCCACACCACCCCAAATAAATCGGAGGGGGGGGACAAATCTCAGGGTCAAAGCCATCCCCGCGGGGAGGAGACCCAAAAGACACCGTAAATGCAAGCGACCGGACTATTATTGCGAGAAACGGGCGGACGAAGGAGCGAGACGAAGACGACGAGCGACCGTGTATTCGAACCTTATCGATGTAGAACCGAGGAGCCGAAGCCCTCAGCCAACAGTGGAGAAAGGATGTCAGCGAAAGTAAACCTAAGCTATCCAGTCTCAAACCTGAGATCCCGTGGGAAGCCAGGGACGCAACCCCCCTAAACCGACGAAACGAACGCGAAATCCTGCGGGGAAACGAAGACAGGAAAGCCGAAACTGTTTTACCGAAACGAAGGTCCAACTGTAAAGCGATGATCGAAACCATCAAAGAGCCAGAGGTTATTCCCGTGGGAAGCCTCTTAGCAAAGAAGGCAACCAGGCCCGCGGGCGAGGAAGAAAGGGTGTCCGAAGGAGATTACCAGATTGCGTAAAGAAAGTATAATATAAAGGGGCATACCCCTTTATATACTAAGGAAATCCTCCATGATCACTAACACAAAAGAAAGTTCTTGGCATCACGCACAGCCGCAATTCCTCTATCAGGTTCCGCTATCTTCCATTGCGCGGCAACGCATCCCAATCATTCATACTAAGGAAATCCAACCATACAACCAAGAAAACCACAACCAATATATGCAACGAAAAACCCATGTACATTCCGTCTCCATAGCCGGGTGGCTGTGACAGTAATCTATCTGGAGCATAAGCATGAGCATTTAATATTTCTGATACTCCACTCTCTCTCCACACAAAAGAATCATGAATTTGACCTTCCACTGGTCCATATAAATGGGCAATAATTCCATCTAGTGCAATAACTATTTGGTACTTCAAACAATGCATTCTCTTCCACCCATTATAAATAGACTCTTGGCCATAAATTGGCCTTGCAATTGGCCATAACGTCCTGTCAACAAAGCTCCAACAGCTGTTTGGAGATACATTTTTTTTCTTTGATTGCAATCGTATAGGCTGCCAGACATTGTAGAGTTATCCTCTCTGTATCAAATGATTGTAAATGCTTCCACCATTTGTATATAACTTTTAAAAGCATATTGGTAATACATGAAACACATTCTGGTTTCCAACCAAATTGTAGATAGATATCAGATAACCAGTGAGGCCATGCAAGTCTTGCAAGTAGCATGCATAATACTATACCATTAGGCTTGAAAATACCATTTTCTGCATATATCCTTGTTGGGATATCAAGACAATTTGCTAATCTCTCGATTTCTTCTTTTGAAACCCTATTTTATTTTATTAACTACTTTTTATCTATATTGAATTAGAAGACAAATTTGAGTACTAGACTACCTAAAGTATGTCCTCCATGCCTGTGGTTCCAGTTCCTCCAAATCAATTGGTCCTCCTTCTCTCTACCATCCTCGTCATCGAATATTTGTATACGTTGATGCATGCTGATAAACCCTCAGTTTGGTCAGGCCTAACTTGAAGTTGAACCAGGCATGGTCAAGGTCACTCATATTGAAGAATCTGCCCCTTCAGGAAAGCAAAGAATTTTTCAAAATACAATAGTCTTCATCAAGTTTTGAGGGATTCAGATCGTAGGGGTCAAATTGCACAGATTTGCTGATACCCGGGAGTCAAATCAAGATCTGGTTAGTCTCAGGCTTAGCATATGCATGCCAAGATAGTTAAAAAGACTCTGGATATATCAATCGCAATGTCCCTAATACCGGTGATTTTTGTTGCCAGCCTCGTACTTGTTCTTGTACTTGATGGTAGTATCTTAGTCCAACCACATCCCTCTTGTGTTCACGCACTTCTTGCTGATACCTGTAGGTCCTGTAGAGCAAATTCTCTATTGTTGTCACGGGATGGCAAGAGCACCAGCTTGTGTCACCACATGCGAAATACCTATTGAGTATGTTGGTATGAATTCCGCCACCCTTCACGTCGTCCTTTACACATGATGGCATAAAAAAACAAAGGCTGAAACGCCATCTTATCCTTGACGCCCACAGGCTTCCACTTGGCTGTTGATACTTGTATGGCAGGGAAGTCGTTTATCCGCTCAGCACAGCACAGAGGTCACCATAAGTTAATACGATACGACCAGGCATACGGTATTGTGCTCGAACACAAGGACGGAAATGTGGGTGTAAAGAGAAAAAAGGTCCCCGAAAAAAAAAAAACATCAAGTCAGAGGACGAACGGGTGAATCCTACAAGTACTCTTTCTTCTCCGGTCTCGCCTGACCCGGCCCCACTCCCGCATGATATCCTACGGTACTCGGGTAGCACAGACCGCACAAGGAACGCTCTGGCCCCGGGGTCCATATTGAGGCTAAGTACCAGCCTATGTCGTTCTCAAGTGAAACCTTCGGGCGGGAAAAATCTGTGTCCCCAGTGGGCCCGGCTGGTTAAAACCAGGCCGGCGAGATCAAAAGACCCGAAAGCTTAGTTTGGCGTGGTTAAAACCAGTTGGACGGCAGGTGTCCGGGTGCTTTCTACATGGCTGAGTATGGAGACACTAGGCTCCGAGGTGATGAAAAACGAGAACAAGTGAAGTCAATGTTTGGTAGACAAGAAGTTCAAGAAAAGGTGATCCGCCCTTGCCGCGCCAGAGCACTTGGAAGAGTCTGCACTGGACCCATTCAACATCCCATAGAGGATCTTCTAGTGCATACCTGTGGTGGAAACCAATCAGGTCTCGCTAGCCTACCCCCAGCCATTGTGCTCTGGCCTTTCAATTTTACGGTTAACCGTGGTTAGCCCTGCCTGGTCTGCCTGGTCCTTGGGCCTCAATCAACTGCAGTCAGCCGGACCCCTCCAGAAGCACTGGGAGAAATCACCATTGGGCGTAAATAGCCCGGTCCCCCCCCGCTGGGCGACCAGGCCCAAAATGACAAGAGCTCTGCTTGTTCCGGAATCGAAGGTCGAACCATTGGTCACGCACCGCACGCCGCTGAGATTCCACGAGCTATGCAGCCTTAGAAATCTCAGGGTTTAAGTTAACAATTGTATCGCAAATTCTCACGGCTGTTGCCCCTGCAAGACGCTCAAAAAAGAAAAAAAAGACAATTGTCCAGCCTAAGCATTCTCTGATCTGAGAAGACTCATTGCCGGTGCATCGGGAGTGTCTAGTGGTCTTGAATTTCCTCCACATTTAAAATCACGAGAAATCAGCCGCCGGCAACTGGAGCACTTTACCGGTAAGCTAAGTTTTCAGCTGTCATGACGCGGTATTTCCAATGCACAAGAATCCCCCGGCTGTCGGGAAAAACCAATTCAAAAAAAAAAGTCGCTCGAGAAAATGCTAACACCTGCCGGTACTGTACCTTTAGATTGCTGAAAACAAATTGATTTTTTTCCTCAATTTTTTGATTCCTTCTTCCCATTTTTATTGGTTAGCACTGTACTGCCGGTAATTGTCGAAAGCGACAGTGATGTTATCGTACCGGTACTGTATTGTACGGTACGAGTACTCGAGTACTTGTAACGTCACTATCCCATGGATCGATGAAACATGCAGGCTCCGGACCTTCCGAGCCCGGTATATGCATCCGTTAGAAGTACTGTAAATTAATCAGCAAAAATATGAAATCGGCTCGGAGTCGTTGGATGGAGGAATGGCAGTGTTAAGCTGAAGCGGTGTGCGGCGCTCCTTTAATGGAAGGCCCTGGATCCGTACGTCTCGTGAGTCCACTGGATACCAGTACAGCACAATACACAATGTGAAATGTTTTCCACCGTAAAAAAATAAATAAATAAGTTTTCTCTATTTTTTGATTCCCTTTTTGAGTTTGGCCCTCATCATGGCAACCAATAGCTGCGGGGGGAGGAGTTTTCTCCCTTTTTTTTTTGTTGACCGGACAGGACACGTGACACCAAAACGGAGAATTTCTCAGGCAAAACTCTACAACTGGGGTCAAAAATATCTTCGCCGGGTATCGGCGTGGTTGACTGGAGAGCTAAGGATTAGAGGTGTCAAAAGTTTCCTTTCCGCTTGTTTGAACAAATTTGGTGCCAAATTCATTCTCTCATTTCCTACGAGGGTAGAAAAGTTAAGCCTCCAGAATCTCCAGCTGTCTACCGTCCCCCGTCCATACCCGAGCAGAGGTTTTGTCAGGCAACCCAAAGCACCTTTAACCTCCATGGTATCACCGTACCGTATCGCGCACTGTGCAAGTCCAGGCACGGTACTGTACTCGTACCCCCCTGGGCCATAAGTACCGGCACCGCACCATACTTTACCCGAAATACACGGGTCAAAGAAATGATATGATGAAATGATAATGCAGGTATGATTTGATACGATACCGTATATCGCAAACTGCCGGTACTCTACGAGTACTGTACTAGTATCATACTCGTACCGCATCTGTCCGTCTCCCCGCGCCAAAACAATCTATAACCCCTCCCTTGTTTTTCGGATGCCGATACCCGTAGCGGGCAAGGAGTACCCCAAAATGGGGATTCGCGATATATATTGCAGGAGATCGCTGGGTAACTAGGACTAGCTGAGCCGGCACGCAAAATCCACCAAGGCAAATTATCGAGGCTGGCCCTTGGTTGCCACGCCAAGCCTTCCTTTTTGGGCCCGAAAAATTATAGAGGTTTGCAGAGGAGCCCTATTTTGCTTTGGAGTGGCATGTCTGGTTGACATCAAGGCACAATGTTCAGGTCAGAAAAACCCTTATGATTTTTTACTTTTTTTTTTTACAAAAATCACATACTGTACTGAAAAACCCCTCAAGTAGTACAACACATTACAACTATCCACCGTCACCCTCAATAAATTGAGCCACCAAAAAATATGAGAGGTAAGTATTCGAGCCCAGAAAACAGTATTTTCTTTATACTATATATATATTGATTTCCTTGAGTAACCTTATTTTCTTTTTTCTTTTTTCCATAATACCTGGTACAGTGGGCATGAAAAAAGTATATTCCCTAGCCTGAACCAGTGTTTGCCAGACACAACTGCCTTGGCCCTCACTTTGTGCGGATATTACTAACCTGGGATGGCTACTGGTAAAGGTGGCTGGGTATGACACCATACAACTTGTGTCTTGCGATTTTGGCATTTTCCAAACCCGCGCCTAGATTGGTTGGAATGCCTCCTGCAGTTTTTTAGTGCTACGAATATATATTGGATTGATAGACCCACCGACAGCTAGACGCACCCTAACTCTTGCGATTCGCCATCCGCGTCGGGAAATCAATATCCCTGTACTAGTACGGTACTGGTACGAGTACAGTGGATTGTGGCATCGGCCACGATAGGTTTAGAGCAGCAAGTTAACGGAATTGCGAAACCCAGTTAATGAGATCCATACGCCCAAAGGACTCAAGATACACCATGTCGGGGAAGCACTAATTCTTGTCGAGAAGGTTTTGTCCCCAAAACTCGAGATTAATGACATGACAGCGATAGATAGATAGACAATCGCGGGAGTTTAGATTGGTATCCCTGTCTTCGGTCACTATGCCTGCTACGCGTACTACCGGTAGTACAATACAGGTACGACACTTGTGACCCGGGACACGAGTGTCGGTAGTTGAAGAATTGACTACCGGCACGGTTGCCCACATGAGAGTTCAGAATACCAGCATCCTTCTGGATATCATACTCGAGTATGATACCTCCCAACAACTCGAGCACTGCCCAGCAACCAAACTTGCCAGAAACGGTGATGAAAAAAATAACAATCAAGAAAATCAAGAAAATCATAAGGAATAAATGTTTCATGAAAAAGGAACACGAGGCTAGAGAAGCCTACCCTTAATCCCGAAATTCTCACCAAAAGGATGCGCCTCAAAATATTACCTGGGTCTTCGGGGATCCCCACCCCGGAAAGTACGATATTTATACCTACGGTATCATAGGACATCTATTGAGACCCAACTGAAAACTCCCAAACGGAAAGCAAAGCAAGGAGAAACCCAAATACCCACGATACCCGCCCAATCTTACAATCCCCAAACATCCAGCAATGGAATTCCCAGAGAACGTCAAAATAGTCACCACAGCATCCACCGCTTCTACGGAAGCGGATATGAAACAGGTTGTTGAATCCCTCCGCTATTATCGTACCCCCCCCCCCCAACCCTAACAACCCGATCATTGACACCCAACCGGCAAATGCGCACTCGAGTACTATAGCTCCTCGACAACACCAACCTCCCCAGTACCGCTAGCTTCGCTTCCAAAACCATCGATGAGAATGCCCACACCCTCCGCACGATCGGGATATACCCTTCCGAATCCCCCACCGACACTGCTGTTTCTTCCCCCTCCGCGGGCGGAGATGGAACAACAACGACAACAAAGAGGACAATATCGACCTACTATGCCGGCTACCTGCGCCGCCCCGACCAACCCTGGCCCGAGAAGCCATTCGTCCTGTGGGCGGACTTGCACATGAAGAGAAAACATCTGCATCTTCTGCCACATGCTGCCAAGCCCCTTATCGATGCGGTGGTCAGAGATGAGCCCGGAGTGCTGTGTTATCTTTGGCTGCAGGATCTTAGTGACAAGAGGCATGTATCTGTTTTTGAATGTTATGCGAGCAAGGATGCCTGCAAGGCTCACGAGGCTACCGAAGCTTATAGTCGTTTTGCGGAGGCCGTTGGGCCTTATGCCGAGAGTTTGGAGATTAATTATGCCGAGTGGAAGGATGGAATGTCTGTGTAAATTTTTTTTGCTAGAGATCGGGAAATGTTGTGTCGTGCTCGGTGAATATGTCACCCTTAGCACAATGCCCCCCCCCACCTTTGACGAGACCACTGGATCACTCTTCCACCCACATTCCGATTAATAGTTGGCCCAGGCCCCAACTTCAAAACTGCACATGTTCACTTAAACAGCGTACTGCGCTCCGGACCAATGACATTCGAGACTCTATTTATTTTCAGGAAGAGTAAAGTGAACTGCATATATAAACGAGGGCTATATGCAGCAGGGCCAGACGGCATGCAGTCCGTGTGGTGTGTTCCCTTCAAGAGGGAGTTGGAAAAAAAAATGTACAAGAATAAATAATTGAAAATAGACTCAAGGAGTCAATCCTTGGCCAGCGAAGAACAGTTAAAAATAAAATAGTGAGGAAGACAAAGAGGGTTATATCATCAATCATAGAAGTCGATTGAATAGTCCCCTTTCGATTCGGAAGGTCAGATCCTCAAAACAAAAAAACCATAGAAAAAAACACCACCTTTTCTTTGCCTTGTTGATGTCGCGCCAGGCAGAGACTCTTTTATGCTCCCATCCAGATTATTGACTCCTCAAAAACAAGAAAAAAGAAAACGCAATGCTACCTGTCTAAAGCTCCTAAAACCACTAGCCAGGAGGAAAGCAACCCGCTCCCAAAAGTCCTAAAATGATAATAGATCAAGCGAAAGTCCAACTGACTTTGACCCTGCCGGCACTTTCCTCGGCTCCCATAGCCTTGAAGGCAGAAGGAGAGAGATCAATATCATCATGTGCCTATACCGTTGTCAGCATCAATGAAAAACTTAACATTTCAATATAGGTGAACCTACGCATCCTTGGCAACGGTCGACAATCTTCACAGGGACCTTGGGACCATTGTTATAAGAGATCAGGATGGTGGAACCACAGAAGGGGTTCTTGTTTGGATCGCCCGTCTTCTTGGAGTCCATCAGGAGATGGGAAATGGCACAAACGTGCTCAGAAGGCGCGCTGACAATGCCACACGACCCTAGACCGGTGTCATAGAAAGTACCTTCGCCGACATGGATATCGCCACCGCCTGTGCTGCCGCCGCTGCTGGGGGTTCCCCCAGACGGAGCAGACGGAACTGGAGCTGGAGCAGTGGTTGATGACTCAATCTTGATAGGAGGAGGGGTTGGGGTGATAGGGGCCGACAAAGTTGATGTTTGCAAAGTTGTGGGTGGTTCTTGAATAGATGTTGGCATAGAAGTCGGGGTGGGGTGGGGAATTGGAGTAGAGGTCGGGAGCTCACTTGTAGTGGTTGGGATAGACTCAGTGGTTGGTACTGGGGTGGCGGAAGACGTCGATGAGGTAGAGACAGTCGTTGGAGTAGATGGAATGGACAAAGTAGTCTGTTGAGTTGTCTCAACGGAAGAGTAAGCCAATGTGCTTGATGGCATCACAGACAATTTGGAGATGGAAGAAGAGACTGTTGGCGAAGCCAACGTCTCCAAAATACTAACACTAGGAGCGTTCGTGGGAACATGATCCTTATTCTTCCCTTTTGGAGAAGGCTCGGTCGTAGAGACTGCGGTTGGAGCATACTCCACAGGATCAACCCAGGCGGTTGAAGTGACATGAACATACTCAGTTGCGAGCTCAGTGACAGTGACGACTTTGAAGCCACGGGCCCGAAGAGGGGAAGCCATGGCCCCGTTCAATGCGAGGACAAGGCTCAAAATGGTGGTGCTGGAAACCTTCATGATGGATGCTGCTGGGATATACTATATTTTGATAGCAAAAAAAATAGTTCTCTCAAAAAAAGAAGGACCGGAGTGCGAATCGACTAGCGATATATCAATACGAAGGATTGTGGGCGACGGAGAGCCAAGAAGTGAGCGATATACAACCAGCGAAAGAATAAAACACGAAAGACTAGCAGAGCTGAAGGAATGGCAACTCTGAGTGGGTAGAGAGAGTGTGGAGGGGTCGTAATGCAAGGCAGGAAAGCTCGGGGACTGCTGTTTTATAGAGCGGAAGTTGAAGGAAAGGACAGGGCCGACGTGGACCCAACAGAAGGGCGAGACAAGGATAGCGTCCGGATAGCAGGGAGGGGGAAAAGGAGTGAGAGCAAGAGGAGATTAGCGGCAAGCGGCAGTGCAGAAGTCGTGCTTGTTGGCCGACGGCTGGTTACAGTGGGACAGAAGGAATGTGGTTAGGAAAATCCGAGGGAGTGGCTGCTGCAGAAGCAAGAGAAATTATTGTAGCAGGGAAGGAAAAGAAAGGAACGATGAAGCTGAAAGAGCAAATGGGAAAAGGAAGAGAGCGTGAAGATGGAAGGGAGGATGACAGGGGATGGGAAAGAAATGCAAAAGGACTGTCTGCGGAAAAAGCAAATACTAAGGAAAGGAGAAAAGGAAAGGAGGATTGGCAAATCAGAGAGGGGAGAGAAGCGAAGGGAGGTGGGAGGAAGTGGAAGGATATGCAGGAACCGGATCAAGAGGAAGGGAGGGCATGCGATTGGAGTGCTGGAGTGGTGGTGGGTGGGTGGGACGGGCACATGGGTACTCGTACCGGTAATGGCCTGCCTATTGTACTCGAGTACCTAGGAGCACTTTTCTCTCGTTTGACGTGGACCAACCCGCTCTGCTTCATTAAATTGCCCGTCTCTCATCCATCCTCTTCCCTTCGTCCCTCCCACCCGTGATTCCCCTCCTACGGTATGATACCGGTATATGGTAGCCGCAATTGAGTGTGAAGGAAAAATAACCTTAACGCAGTCAATTCCCCACCTATTGTGCTCGAGTGTGGTAGTTCACTCCTCGTGTCCAGAAGCGGGCTGGTCTGGTTCGAGTGCCGGTAACACTGCTCGCTTCCCCCTGGTGCTTTCAAAGTTTGGATTGGGTTCCAGGCTCCAAGACGCTTCATTGGTAGCCTCATCAAACACCGTACTCGAGTAGCCCAAAACAACCAAAGACTTAGTAGGCGCGCAACACATTGAAGCACTGCCCAGGCGCCAGGAACCGCCATGCTAAATTTGAAGAGTCAAATACCGGCATTGTCAAAGCTCGGTCTCGTGGAAATGTGTTCGTTTTTTCAATACCGGTACGAAACTTCATTTCTCGGTCGCGCTTTGTCCACATCATCTCGGAGGGCCCATCTCAGAGGGTGCGAGCGCTTCCCGAACTGGGTCAGGTACGAGATGCCAAGGCCACCGATGCTACAGCCCCTCGTGTCGCTCCTTCGATAGGGGGAGGGTGCCGGTATGTTTTTCGCTCCCCCCACCCCGGTTATGAAGGAGAAAAATCTTCCTTGCTCCGCTAGGGCTGCACCACTCTCCAGGCGCTCGCTTCCAATTGGCGGCGGTTCAGAAGGGAAAAAAGGCACCACACACACCGATGCACACCACACACCACGGTACCTGAGCACCGAACACTCTACCGGCACTTTAGATCTGCCCGTCAACGGTCCAAGCCTGAGCCAATCCACCTCTTGACTCCCTCACCCCCAAGCAAATCCCTCCTCCACCCACCCCCAGCCCCGCCATGCCATGCCATGACATACCGGCACACGAACATTGGTACAGTGCTACAAGTAGTACGGTACTCGAGCACCGTACTTGAGTAACCATTTGCGTGCGCAGTTTTCCCGTGCTGGGGGATGTGCTTCTTGTCAACTGGTCCCGGAATGACAATTGCTTCCACGGCATCTCCCTACTCGAGTACCGGTGCTCGAGATACAGGACGGCTTGGACTTTTAACTGCAGCCTGCAAGTACAGTAAAAAGAAAATGGAGAAGAATATAGCGACCGATTTGGCCACTAGACGCGGTCGCAGGTCGGATGGCCAAGGTCCGTTGTTGGATTACTGGAAAGGTCGCCTCCACTTACTTGAGAGACATTTTCTTTGTTCGTTGGATGATTCGGTTTGCTCCGTTTCGTGATTGTATCGATTGTAAATTAACAAGCGAAATGCGGCACCATACCGGTAGAACACTCAAACTTGAGTAATCGACTGTTACAAAGACTATATTTTTATCTTTGTCGCAGGTACGAGGAGCAATAAAAATCGGTTAATACTCCGACGGCAGAGACCGTGTCTTTTGTCCGAATCTCACGCCTTGTTACTACGGTACTGTAGTATCATATCACTCTCGGTTTGCCACACAGTCATCATGTGCAAGGGGGAAGAAGGCGACACAGACCTCGAGAGGCACTCGTATTGGTATTATCCCTTGGTCGCACTGAAACAGTCAAATTCGTACTTGTAGCCAGGCACACTAAATCATGTTTTGGGGGATTCCGGGTGTTGTGATTCGTTAGAAAATAAATGTTTCCAATGATGCTGAGTCACTTGAACATTGGAAAACCAGTATATAACCCGAAATAGCTAGCTGCTGACTGATCTGGAGGAAATGTGCCTGGCTACGAGTTTGACTGTTTCAGAGCGACCAGGGGACAAGGCATTGGGGGAGGGGTAGGCCGGGTAGCGTACGTGTAGTCCTTTTCCCCTCTCCTCCTCTTCACTTCTTCCCTGCAAGCTCCCGCAGACGGCTGAACAATTGATGGCGAGATCACTACTCGTACTGTACAGTACCGGTATGCGACCCCGCTTTAAAATATTCCCGCAGTCCAAGTTAAACCCTTCAATCATCTTGTCGCAAGGAGCCGGTGAAAAGCCGGTACCGTGTGGTGGATAGATCTAACCCCCACAAAATCCAAGAGCCAGTGGGAGGCAAAATATGGATTTGTTTCTTTTTATTCTCACACCCTCGGAATATTCATGAGGCCACACGTTTTCGGAGTACAGTACCGGTAGGCCAACCGAGATTGGCACGATTTCGGATCTGTGGACATCACTGACTTTTAGTTCTCAAAACCTCGCTTAGCGTATTACGATGTAATCTTACCTCTGACTTTACATGTGCTGGGCCTAGCAACTCCCCCTGAACCTGCTGCTCGTACAGCGGCCTTCGAGAACCGCAGTATCGCAAAAAAAAAAAACACCCTCGGGATTCGCTATCTCCGTTCACTCGCTGCTCTCGTGACTCAGAGGCAAATGTTCCCAAGGAGGATTGGTGCTTTCCGGACACGGTAGGCCTGAGTACCGCACGTCTACCGTACCCCGACTGTGTTGGATCTCGTTAACTGGTTTTCGCACTTCCGTTATTTTGCGAAACTAATCCAATCGTGGGGTGATGTCGTGCTTTACAGGAATATTTGTAGCAAATCTCAAGGGTTTTTTACGGTACATCAAACGTTTTTCGAGGACCATGCTACAGTACTTCGAGTACCGGTACCGGTACTCGAGTATTGGTTAATCAGTATACAAAAAGGGGAACTTTACCACCCACACAACCCGAGCCAATATACTCGAGTACCACCACCCATGCTATTCTTATAACATTTACTCGTCACTGTCTAACATGCATAGGGCCCGCGAAACTCCGGTCCCACCTTCCATCAATCAAATGTCCCGGTTTCGTACCTGTGCCAGTACAGTGCTTGTGGCGGGCTGCGATTTGTGTGGGTGAGTCAAGAGCGATAACGTCGATTTAACTCCTGATTCTTGGAAGTCTTCTGAAGTTTGCCCAATAAGATGCACCGGTATCCGAGCACCCTTCCCGCCTACCGTAAAAATTCCTTAAATACACTGTCTCCTAAAGGCCTCGAATCTCTGAGAAAAAACGCCCCGAGAAGGAGTAGTGCCCTTCGGACCCTATCATACAAGCAGTTTGGGCGATTCGAGCTTGCCGTATCCCATCAACCGGTATCCGGTATTTTGTTAACCTGCTCTGGTAAGCCAATTTGTGGTCTAGCACGAGTACGGTGATTTCTGGTGCGGTATCGGATACCGGTAATGGATGTAGCGAGTTTTTGCGGTGCGCCGGCGCAGTGAGCTACCCATACTGGGAGCAGGACTGGACGGCTGGTTAACAAAGTCCGATTCCAAGTCCAATTCAGACTCGAATAGTGATTTTAATGGTGCTGGTATATGACGACTGATCTTGTGATGGTGATGTAACAACAGAAGAAAACAATGAGTCGTGTTGTGTAGCCATTGGTAGATGCGATAACGGCAGTTGAGAGCATGAAACTTTTGATTGACCTCCACATGCCGTTTCAACAGTAGAAGCTATCATGGCCTTTGCAAGGCAGTCCGATAATCCGATGAACCAATATCCTATCTGAGGATTGGAAGCAGGTATTAATTACCCTGCATGCTTACTTATGTTAGCATAAGGACTTAATATCGGAGCAAGTTGAAGGTTAAAGTCTGTGTTATCAGAGCACACAGAACAGACGCCTTTGTGCTCCAGTGCCATAAGGAATGGTATCTCACCTTGAATTCATGTACCGGTACCTATAACTCCCGGTTTCGTACAAAGCATCATATCTGACAATTGATCTGTGTAGATAATCCGTCAGACTTATTTCAATCCCAATACCAGCATCACACCAATCCCGACGAGCACGGACCGACTATGGAGTTGACAATGCGACAGGTCGTGCCGGATTTCTCCGCCGAAGATGGCCCTTGCCGGTGGTCTCCAAAGCCGAAGAATGTGTACTCACGCACTATATCGCTAGAACTGCTGGTGAGGAAAAGGATCCGGCACAGTGTCCCACAACCCGGGTGAATAAGGAGGTAGGGGAAAAAAAGCAGCTTTGAGACTGCACAGCACCAAAATCAAGACATCATACCGCAAATTTAAGCTTCGAGTTGAGAAACAATTCAGGAGTAAGAAGGAATGGAAAGTATATATGTTTTCTTTAAGAAATAGTCGGCCGGCTGGCTGCGTTTATCAGGCTGAGCACCGCTCCGGATGATGCTTCACTCCTCAAGAGAACTGTATTGAAAGAATAGAGAAAGAAAGGAAGAAATCAGGGAAGAATGAAGAAGAATGAGAATCACCCACTTGAACAGTTAGAGGTAGTAGGAATAACTTGGAGGGAGAGTTACTATCACCATTTACGGGCGAGGAGCTCAGAATGGCAGGGATAGTCAAGAATATGGTGCTGCTCGACTCCAGCATCCTGACAGATGCTCTTGAACGAAGCAGCAGCACTACCAGTATCGAAAAAAAAATTCCTTATTTTTTCGGTGGAGAGGTGAATGGAGGCGGGGGGGAGCTGTGAGAGCGCACAATCAAGCACTGAAGAGGATGAAAAGGGCGATATCCCCCAACTTTTATTTAATCAAATAGTGGTGGAGGCTGTTGACAGAGGCATTGTATCTATAGAAGTCAGTGACATTGAGACCAAAGTCTTGGAGCGGTTGGAGAGTGAAGGATTTATCCCCCCACCTTGTCTTTTCTTTCTACATACCGGTAGAGGTGAAGGGTAGGAGAGAAGGCGGAGCTTCGAAATAAAACAAATCTGAATAAGCTAGAACTAATTTGGAAGGGAGCCAGACTTGGCGGTCGTCAACAATCACTGGCATTCAGTGGAGGAACGACGAACAACCCTCGCTCTGAAAAGTTTTGGTGCATCAACAACCCTCTATCGTTCTTTCCGTTGTCGTTCTCCTCTTAATTTCTTGAACCCACAACACCGATTCACCAGGCATCCACAAACCTTCTCCTACTTGGCACTGCCTTCGTTTGGCATTGTCCACGACAATACCAAGTGTGAAGATTTTTCATCACCCTTCAACCCTCCTTGCTCTCCTGGTTCGTGCCACTGTCTTCAATTCTTACATAACTCCCCCCCCCCCCACCTCCTCTCATGTTGCATTGAGGCTGACCTCATTCCCTTGGCCTTGATTGTCGGATATAGGGCCACATCCTACCGCAACAACAACATCCATAACAACACGTTATAATGGCCGATAATCAAAAGGAGGCTGAACATATAGACGGCCACGAAGAAGGTGCTGATGATGAGGTACACAAGGTCCTTTCCGCTCCCTATTAACTGTTTAACTTTGCTCGAGCAAATCAGCTTCCTTTGTTGGTGCAAGGGTGCTTAGATGTGTTCTTGGGGCCTTCAATTAGCAATTAAATTCCTCCCAACCATCGTACTACTTTGTTGAATCGGTTTGGAGGCTAATCACGTTCTTTCTGCACTCTTTAGGAGGAGATTTCTGCTATGAAGCGCAGAGTTGCTGAGATGGAGGCCGAAGCAGCAAAACTCCGAGAGATGCAAGCCACTCTTGATAAAGAGACCAACGAATTACGCGAAGATAAAGAAGATATTGATGCGCGCAGTATCTTTGTTGGCAATGTTGATTACGGAGCAAGTCCAGAAGAGATCCAAGCCCACTTTCAGAGTTGTGGCTCCATCAATAGGGTCACCATTTTGCTGGATAAATTCACCGGTCATCCAAAAGGGTATGTCTCATGATACAGCACCAACATGGCTTTGGTATAGTCTGGTACTGATCACTGTCCGAAATAGCTATGCCTACGTCGAATTTACCGAGCCTAGTTTGGTTGCCCAGGCCTTGGTTCTCAATGAGAGCGTATTCCGTGGCCGTTCGCTGAAAGTATGTGATGGCTTCCTGCCACCGTTACATTTATCATGCTAACCACCAAACCTGTAGGTTGTCCCTAAGCGCACCAACCTTCCTGGCATGAATCGTGGCAGGGGACGTGGTAGAGGTGGCCCCGGAGGAAGAGGGGGATTCTCACCCACTTACCGTGGTGGGTACACCCCTCGCGGGGGCTACAGAGGCGGTTATAGAGGCAGAGGGAGGGGATATGCTCCTTACTAGATGTCGGAATATGCTTGCTTCTGCTTTCAGTTTGGCCATTATCTTCGGAGGTTTTGTTTGTTTTCTTATTTTGCTAAGATACGGGTGATGGTTGGGGCAGTAAACGCAAAGGGAAGGTTGCGCGGAGCCAAAAGTAGGTAGAAGCAGATTCAGTAAGGGTTGTCGAGTGGTTAGTGAGTGGTGGCTGAATTGAAACTGTGACGGTTCTGGGTCATGTCTTTCTTTTTTCTCCTTCACATTTTTTTCCCTTAACACTTTTATCCCTATTGTCGATTCTTTGGTCTTTTCATATTATCGAACTTTGTATAATAAGAGCTTTGTCTTGTGAGTTCTCAGCCATGGCGTAATTCCTGACTGGCTACTGGATTTATTCTGAAGAGAGGAGGAAGGTAAAGAAAAAAAAAGGAAAAAAAAGAAGGCAACTGATCTCCTCGAGTGAAAAGGGGGGATTTTGGGATGGGGCTAAAGCCCAAAATGAATTCCAGGGCGGAGGGTCGTTGGATAACTGTCAGTTTGGGATGGAGTTCGGTTTTCTCTGATTTCAAATGGGACGGTGTTGCAGAAGATAGCGGACAAAATTTTGATACTGCGCCTGTGCCGATGGCAGGGCTCATGTAAGGGCCGCCAGGACTGCATAAGGTGTAACTGAGAGCGCTGTACTCTAGTACAGTACACCGATCTCATGCTTGTATCATACTGGTACAATCCGGCCCAGCCCAGTATAATCAGGTGCTACAAGTACATACTACTTTACAAAGCGGATGTTGATTCTGGCAGAGGGCTGAGCCTTACTACGGGGTAATTTTGACAGGAGTGGAATCTAGGAGGAAGATAGCTGCGGTGCCATACCGGTACCCCTGGGAAAGATTCTTGTGCTAACGATGAGGGTAGGCCATCGATACGATACCGGCGTCCCATCCAGACAGGTGCAACAGGGGACCAGTCGATATAAAATTTAGTTCTGCTGTGAGCCTCATTTCTGAGGTGGGAGAGTGAGAGAGCAGCATGCAGGAACCTTCGTTGTTTCACCCTAGCGTAATGAATGAGTTCTAATCCTCAGTAGGTTATCCTCAAGTACCACATCATAGATTATGGCTCTGCACGATATCTGAGATTCCGTGTCTCCAACTTTGCGGAGGCCGGCGGTTGAGGACACAGGAGTGCTATCTGGGCTAGAGAATATAGGTAGGGCAGAGGTGTTGTAGTAAGCGTTTATAGTACCGTATGATAGCGCCACAGGTCTCTCTGGTGCGTCGCTTAACTCGGGCATTTGTTTACGGTAGAGAACATGCTTTGTGCACTGTAGAACAAGAAGGGATAAAAACATAACGTGTATTATGATCTACCCTGAGGGATAAACAAACAGCTTGTGCGGTGCTCGAAGAGAACTGACGTGAGTGTCAGAGGTGGACCAAAGATTGAGAAGCTAGCTGTGGCCTACAAATGCGGGTAAGATTTCTGAGCGGTCTCTTCACTCTTCTTCCAGCTCCGTGAGATACGATTTCTGTAGGTGTGGTGTGGGTGTGGTTGAGTGTGAAACCTCTCCTTCCCAGCTTCCATCTCCGCAGTGGACCCCTCCGCACCTCAGTCAGCGACAACATCAAACGTGCTTGTAATGCTCTAGCAGGAGTCCAGTGACAGTACCTTTCTCGATTCTATACGCACCTCCATCTCCTTCCCATATTTCCCATCCTCCTCCTCCCGCTGTTGTTGCTCATCCCCCATCGCCCGTCCCTTCACTGTCACCCCGGGGCTTCGTTTCTCGCGGCTCTCCTTCCCAGCATTCCACATTTGCCCTCTAACCTTTCCTACCCGCGCCCCCGACCTTTCACCGGGTGTTCCCCTCCGTCGCTGCCACAACCGCTGTCGCCTCGACCACCGAGCACTGCCACTATTCCTGACGTACCCATAGAGTGAGCAACCACCGTCTGGATCCCTTTTCCCAGCTTAGCCCTGAGCCTCCAACCACAGTCTTTCCTCTCGAGACACCTCCTAAATTTTCTCTCCACAGAAGAAGACGGAAGAGGGGAAAACAAACAAGAAAACATTCTTTCTCCTTACCAAATCATCGACAATGACAGAAGGACCTGCGTATGTTTGGCTGCTTTCGAGAGTTTATCGGTCGTGTTAGTGAGGATTACAGCTGACTTTTTGGGAATTCAGGAGTCCGCGCCAGGTCCGAATCACAGGTACCTTTTTTAAATCTATTTCTACACCTTCGCAAAACGTGCCTCCATGACTGATTTTGCACGTATGTAGTTATCGCTGCGGATGGGCTTTATAAGAGAGATGTTTTTAGTAGGTCCCGGTGCTTCTCTGAGGGGTGGGGGTGGGGTATTAATTGTCTCCAGAGTTTCCGGACCCATTCGCTGTTGTCACCGTCGATGGAGAGCAGACCCATACGACTTCGGTGATACGCAAAACATTAAATCCCTATTGGAACGAAGCGTTTGATTTGTATGGGCGCCCTCTCCGTGGTAGCTTGAACTTCCGGGCAAACTAATCCTGCTCATCAGACAAGTCTCGGAAGCGTCCATCGTAGCGGTGCAGATATTTGACCAGAAGAAGTTCAAGAAGAAAGATCAGGGATTCCTTGGCGTTATCAATGTTCGAGTTGGCGATGTGCTCGATCTCTCTTTAGGCGGCGATGGTTTGTCATACTCATGTGTCGCGGAGCATACTAGTTCGGTGCTAACTCGGTTGCATAGAAATGCTTACGAGAGATTTGAGGAAATCGAATGAGAACGTAATAGTCCACGGTAAACTTATCGTAAGCTTGACCACGAACGTCAATACACCTATTCAAACGCCTGGTCAAATACAATCCCATCGACCAACACTGCCTGTGCCTGCCGGGAGTACCGGAGGACAAGCTTCTCCTGCAGGTGGCTCACTTTATAATTCTGACTTAGGGCAATCACAAGTATCGGTTGCTAGCCCCGCCGGTCCAATGCCTTCCCGTGTTCCTCAGCAACAGAATGGAGCGCCATCGAACAACCCACATCCCTCAACGAATGGTACAGGACGTCACGCACAGAATATAAATTCATTTGAGGATAACCAAGGAAGGTTACCCGCTGGTTGGGAGAGACGTCAAGACAATCTAGGCAGGACATATTACGTGGACCACAACACCCGTACTACGACATGGAACAGGCCTTCAACGACTTATAATGAAAGCGACCAGCGGGTTGCTATGCAGCAGAACACCGAGGCCGAGAGACAGAGGCACCAAAACCGTATGCTACCTGAAGATAGGACTGGGGCCAACTCTCCGACCCCAGCGGCCCCTCCACATCCAGAGAGCCATGCCAACAGTGCAGCAGCCGTATCGATGATGGCAACGGGTGCTACAACGGCTGGTACTGGTGAACTTCCTCCCGGCTGGGAACAGAGGCATACTCCAGAGGGCAGGTCGTACTACGTGGATCACAATACTCGTACGACAACATGGGTAGACCCAAGGAGGCAACAATACATTCGCATGTACGGAAGTAATGCAGGCACACCAAGCATCCAAAACCTTCCCGTTTCACAGTTGGGCCCTCTACCTAGTGGATGGGAAATGAGATTGACCAACACCGCAAGGGTGTATTTTGTGGACCACAATACTAAAACGACAACTTGGGATGACCCGCGGCTCCCATCATCTCTCGATCAGAATGTTCCCCAGTATAAGCGCGACTTTCGGAGAAAGCTTATTTACTTCCGCTCACAGCCTGCGCTTCGTATCCTCTCTGGCCAGTGTCATGTTAAGGTTCGTAGGAACCACATCTTTGAGGACTCATATGCGGAGATCATGCGACAGACACCCAATGACCTCAAGAAGCGGCTCATGGTCAAGTTTGATGGTGAGGATGGGCTGGATTATGGCGGGCTATCAAGGTATGGGATCCTTCTTGTTGGTATCTTTTCCACGTCTAACAAATGTGTAGGGAGTTCTTCTTCTTGCTCTCGCACGAGATGTTCAACCCTTTCTATTGCTTGTTTGAGTATTCTGCCCATGACAATTACACCCTCCAAATAAACCCTCACTCTGGAATTAACCCGGAACACCTTAATTACTTCAAGTTTATTGGGCGGGTGGTCGGTTTGGCAATTTTCCATAGACGCTTCCTCGATGCATTCTTTATCGGCGCATTCTATAAGATGATACTGAAAAAGAAGGTCGTCTTGGCCGATATGGAGGGTGTTGACGCCGATTTCCACAGGAATTTGACCTGGATGTTGTATGTGCCCCAGTTTTTACCCCCCGTGTCAGAAATGGTCTAATTTCGCTCCAAATCATAGGGAGAACGACATCACCGACATCTTGGATCTTACTTTTTCAACAGAAGACAGCAGATTTGGTGAGACTGTGACTATCGACCTGAAGCCTAATGGCCAAAATATCGAGGTCACAAACGATAACAAGCGGGAATATGTTGAGTATGTTGATTCTAAAATCTTTTGCTTTAAGCCCTTGCTGACCGACACTCCCCTATTTACAGCCTTGTCACTGGTTGGCGTATTGAGAAGCGAGTGCAGGAGCAATTCAAAGCCTTCGTCGATGGTTTCCATGACCTTATACCGGCTGATTTGATAAACGTTTTCGACGAGCGGGAGTTGGAGTTGCTGATTGGAGGTATTGCCGATATTGATGTTGAAGACTGGAAGAAACACACGGACTACAGAGGATACACAGAGAGCGATGACGTTATTGCGAATTTCTGGAAGGCAAGTTTTCATGGTTCGATATATATATCCATGAGGGGCGTCTACTAACTCGATATCATTTTTACAGTGTGTCCGAAGTTGGGATGCTGAACAGAAGTCGAGATTACTCCAGTTCACCACTGGTACCTCACGTATCCCAGTCAACGGTTTCAAGGATCTGCAGGGTAGTGATGGGCCCCGCCGTTTTACGATTGAGAAAGCGGGGGACATTGGTCAGCTACCAAAATCCCACACGTGGTAAGTTTGGGGAATCATTGGACTCTGTGCTAGTAAATATCTACTATTAGGATTTTTTAACTAATGTTCTAAATTTCCTCGAACAGTTTCAATCGATTAGACCTCCCTCCATATAAGAGCTTTGATGTTCTGAACCAAAAGTTATCATTGGCGGTGGAAGAGACAATGGGATTTGGGCAAGAATAGTCCGTTTGTCCATGCTTCCACTTCCCTATTTTCTAACGTTTCATTTTCTTGTGGTTCTCTCCTTGTTCTGCCCTTTTTTTCTGAACGGACTATTTTTGCGGTAATAGTCGGTGGGTGTACCGTGCGAATCTGTAGCTCTGCACATTAGTAGCTTTCTCTTCTTGCTGTTGATGGAAAAGGAGGGGGGATGATAAAGTCTACATTATGTGAACAAATTTCCGGGTGTTTGTAGAGGAAGGCGAAGGGCTAACAAGACTTTCTGCGCGGGTGGATTAAAGGGGGTATTATTATGTAGTAGTAGCAGGCTCAATTTGCAACTAAGGGATGGAAGCTTGGATCTTATTTACACCAAGGCGTCGATATTTGGTAGGAGGGATGGGTTGCTTGTTTTTTTTGTTTTTTTTGCTCTTTTTTTCCGCTTCCTTCCTTTTTGTTGCATGTTCTTTCCGAATTTGTTATTGTCACACGCTTAGCCAGGGCGACCGGGTTTGCGATTCCTGTCTATAACAATCTTACTTTGGGCAAGATCGAGACGAGATCTGTGAGTACGGTTTTTACAAATGACCCAAGTCGCTGGTACACGTGTAGATGTGATGGTTCTTTTCGTGGGGTAGCATGATACCGTAACCACTCTGGAGATAGAGACCGTTGCCAAGAGGATGGCAGTCAATAATATACCACTTTCGGTGCCGATTTGGATCACCTGGACAGACAACTCAGCTCTCTAGCCAATTAGCAAGTGAAAGCAGGTTTAATTTCCCGTCCGCTTTGATGTTTTTCGTCTTTTTCTTCCGTATATAGTATAGTTCTAGGCTAATTTTACCCACCTTCCCCTTGGCAACGGTCTCTATCTCCAGAGTGGTTACGGTAGCATGATTGTGTTCATCCTCTCACGCCACATGCTTCTTGAGCGCGGGCTGCGGGTAAGGTTTGTGGGGAAGGGGTACCGGTACTGGTACTTGTATCATACTGCTACTGTACTACGGTAGTAGTACTCGAGTACTCGAGCCCTAAGTTTCGGTACCGTAGTCTTTCAAGGTATCAAATGGGACCCCTGTCATTGGCCCAGTTGTGTATTAAATACCTGTGTTCGAGATCCTTCATCTCTCGCACCCCAGAGGCAAGGGGCAGTGTTTGATTGGTTCGTTGGGGGGGGGGGAAGAGACAGAGTGTGGCACGATCTCACGCTGGCTGCCCACCTTGTGATGACAGCCGACTTCACTGTTAGTCCGAGGTCAAGCACAACACCGTAATTTACAGGTCCTCGAGTAACCCCCTCTTCACAACTGGACTACTCGAGTACTGCTCAAAGAAGGTTGAATTCAAGCCTACGAGTAAATATCCAACGGGCGATTGATAATCTCTGTTTAGAGCGTATACGGGATCGTACGGTTATCACACTCACCTTACAGGTGGAGGGTCTCAGTAGTTAGTAGTTCGAATTGTAATTCGGATGCACTGGAAGGTACGGAGCAAAAAGTTTGCTATGTCTGGAATGGCCCAGTTCATTTTTGGCATCTTCCGCCAAAATAGTCCGGGGGTTTCCCGGACCCGGAAATAGCCACTAGATCCCCTATACCATACCCTCTCTCTCCCTTCTTCTGCCCTTTATCCCCCCGTCCTTCCCCCCCTTTCTCCTGCTCCTCCTCCTCCTCTCCTCCTTACCATTGCCCTCCACAGTCGTTTTTTGCTGGTCCCTCGTTGTCATTCGCTAATACCCCTACCGGAGCACTAATTGTTTGCGCGCGTCCACGTTCGCTCTCGTCTATAATTCCCATCGCGGCAATTGTTACCCCTTGATACCAATACCTTTTTAATCGATACCCACAATGCTATTCGGAATTCCCTCTGCTATTGCCCTCGCCCTCGCCCTTACCGGTCTTGCCTCTGCTCAGACCTGGCAAGTCGATCATAGCTGTGACGCTTTCAAGTGAGTCTCTTTGTCTGGATATTCGGTCGAGTTTGTTATAACTGACACGTGGACAGCATTGTTGGTGTGTAGAAGGAATCACGATTTAAATCTCGAGGAAGCTCAGAAAGGGCTAATATTGCTATAGAGACTTGTATTTCCCAGTACGGTCCCCGCGCGAAGGCCTGCCGTAAGTCTATGCAACTTTATACCCGAACCTATCTAGACAAACCCTAACCCGAATGTGCAGCCCCCAATGAGTACTCCTGTATGTGCATTGAGTACACGAACCTTTTGACCTGCTATAACAACTGTCCAATGGATACCAGTAGGTTTCCTGCGATTTCTCATGTCCCTATACCATTCAAGTATGATGTCTGACGTGGATAGACTCGTCTGGTATTAAGAGCAGTGTTACCTCCTTCTGCAATGCAGCAGCGGCAGCTTCTTCTGCGTCTTCCATGACAAACACCGCCAAGCCGACTTCTGGTGCGGGTAGTTCCACTGTGGCCTCTTCGGCACCCACCGGTTCTGGATCTCCGACTACCACCGGGGCCCCGTCCTCCTCCGGCTCGTCGTCCTCTGGTTCTAGTTCCCCCAACGCCGCCCTTGCCCTCACACCGGCTGGTACCTATGGCGCCTTGGCTGGTGTTATGGCAATCGCTGGTATCTTCTTGTAGATCCTCCGAGTTGTAGTTGAGTGGTGGCTGTGGAGGGGTGAGAGGGCGAATGCACGGTTCGGGCGAAGTGAACGGGGGCTAACTGGTGTTGTAAGCAGCGATACTTGATGGGAGGGAGCCGGAGATGAGGGCTGTACATGGTGATAATGTGTGATAGCTTTGCTGTTAATTCATTCAACCATACTTTTTGATCTTCTCCCAATGGTTTTGTAAATTTGAGAAAAAGCGGAGGGATACTCTTTGAGCACTTTTAAACGTTTGAGATGGTGGATAACTACTGATACTCGTACCGTATGTTCCTTGCGGGATGTGGTATTAAATTGGGCTGGCTAATTGCTTCCCCCCCAGTCCCCGCAGCCGTAATCCGGCAAGATTGCCGTAAATGTATTCTTCGATGGTCAACATGTACTCCAAGGCCTCCGCAGAGCACTCGCATAACATGATAGACCATTCCTCATGAATAAATAAACGAATAAATGAGGGAGCACCACACCCGAATGTGTATGTATGGGTGTGTGGATGGGCGTGTGCAGTACCCTACTGCTGCTGCGGTTATTAAAGTGACGATGCTCCAGCGCAGTGAACAGAAATATATCGCGATATGTACTCCATCATAGCATTAGAGGAGAGCGGTTCACGGATCGATTCATAGAGCCCGTACTTGCAGCACGAGAGAAGCAAGCCCGGATCCTTAACTTAACCGAAGTCCGACCGAGCTTAGAGAGAAGGAGAGAGAAAGGAAAAAGGTGGGAAAACGAGACGGGTGCATTTATGCATAGTTTATGCATCAACCTCTCAGAATCCCACCCTTGACCCCCGCCACAACAAAAGCCCCGCCATTGACATCAACCCGCGCGGAAGTTTCCCTCAACAACGATATTTGCTCTAACGGTCCCCGCAGAAACTTATTTGCGAGAAACGGAGCGTGGGAACTCAATGGACGATATCTTGAGTGGTTTACCGCTTCCTTTTGAAGACAGAGCACTAATCTGACCTCAATTACCCTCTTTTTACTGCAACTTATTGAAATCTTTCTCATTTTTATATTTTTATATTTTTTATTATTTTTTGAAACCCGACCTCTACTTTTCGAAATCGTTATCTATTTAACCCCTTTTTCCATTGATTTCCCCGCTTCACGTTTCCACCGAGAAACCCGCGCCATGCCTGGTGAAAGGGCGACCCTGAATCCGCCAGGCGCAGTTGCTAAAGACGAGCCCGCGCCAATCGGTGGTGGTGGTGGTGGTGGTGGTGGTGGTGGTGGTGGTGGCGGGAGGGGTTTGGTGGTGGGAAGACCTCAAAGGATCCTGACGGGCAGCCAGTTCGTGAAGAGGTATCGGACTGAGGTCGCGGCGAGTGCGAGTAGCTGCGTTTCCACATTTATCGCCGTGAGTTTTTCCGGCCGCTCCTGGCTTCTCAAGATGCGGGTGTCGGATGCTGAGATATCTTGTTGCTTGCCATTAGTTTCCCCTAGATTCGATAAAGACTCGCATGCAAGCGTAAGTGCTTCCCAGCAATGAATACCGTCCCAATGGAGCATTCGAAGCCTCTCTTGAAGCTTGAAAGCTCTATCTCGTGATGCAATCTACCCTCTGACCCTCTCTAGGTACAAGTTTCGGAGCTTCTGGGACTGCGTCACTCAAACCCAGAAGACGGAAGGAACGAAAGGTTTTTGGCGCGGTATGCGATGCTCATCCCTGCTTAAACTCGATCGTTGCAGATTTTGAGCCCAATTTCTAACTAATCCCTTATCTTGAAGGAAGTCTCGCGCCCCTGGCCTCAGTAACGCTTGTTCGGACGGTCTCGTTTTCGATATACTCCAAGTCTAAAGTTACACTCTCCGGAATCCTCCAACCAGTTTTCGGCAAGAATGCGATTTCTCCCCCTAACACTCCTTACAAGCCGCTCAATCCGTTATACTGGTTCATGAGCGGGGCCATCGCTGGTGGAGCAATCACTGTTATTGCATGTAAGTGTTTTTGCCCTTTCTCCGCTGGAGCTATGAGGGCCGGCCCCCGGGTTATTTTTCTGGGTGGATTGGGATGATAATAAGGGCTTGTTACGTAGGTCCATTCGAGTTTACAAAGTTATCATCACAGATTGAGCTGTTAATGGCCCGGTCACGGATGGCGAGTGTGGATGATCCCAGTCACATCACCAGATACCAGCCGAAGGGGACTTTCCAGAGTGCCAGAAGCATTGTCCAAAACCGGGGTATCTGGGGATTGTATTCCGGGTTTCACCTACATTTTAGTGAGTTATATCATAGATTTGTCCGCAGACTTTTCCTGCCCGCGGTAAATTATACTGACCAACGACAAAAGTCCGCGACACACTTGGCACTGCTATGTACTTCAGCGTATGCGAGCCTATTAGCTCCCTTTTCTAGCTACGTTTATGAACTGACTAGGTTCTTAGTTCTATGAGAGCGGGAAGCAATTATTTGCCTCTTCGAATGGTGCTGGACCTCTGGCTATTGCGACTTCTGGGGGTTTATGTGGCCTCCTCAGCTGGGTTCTAGTTGGTGCTGCCCGCGTGTTTTGAATCGTGTGACCTGCTGATGAGACAATCGCCAGGTATATCCAATCGACTCTGCAAAGTCAATATACCAAAGAGATGTCCTTACCCATCGGCCAGGAGAAGCTCTCCCTAATAGACCTTTTCGCTTTTTTAATAGGAGAATGTAAGGTCATCCACACATGTCCCAAGCTTGTCCAAGCCCACTGGGATTGCTATTGGCCTGTATGATTGGCCCACAGAATCCCTGGCTAATATGCCATAGGTATCGAGGACTTGGTGTTTCTATGGCTCGGACTTGCATAGTAAATTCGGTATTCTGGAGCACTTATGAATTCATAAAACGGAAGGTCGACTCGATTGTTTAGAAGACTATGCACTTGAGAAATGGATAAGGGTCTTGTCCCCTCCTTTCTCTCTCTTACATTCGTTTTTTGCGGTCCGAGAGAGTGTTTTCAGGGGCAGTATTTTATTTTCCATCTCCAAGTGTTTTCTGATGTTTTTCAACTTCCTCTTTACCCCCACTTTCTTCTCCGAAGCTTGTTTCATTTCTTAGGTGGACAATTGGGTTAATACGAAGAAGCCGATCGCAGTGATTTCACCTCACATTACCACACTATAGGGGTATGTTGTCTGTGTGTCACGCCGTGATTCTTTTTTGGATCCTACTCTGGTGGCATTGTATCATTTCTCCAGTTTGGCGTTCATGGTGTGAGAGCTAGTGTTTTCCTGGGAGTAGGTTGGATTTTTCATTTTCATCTCTTTCATGGTCGGGTCAGGTCGGTTGAGAAGAAAGGTTTTGTGCGCTTTTCACACACTTGTGTATGTAATATATCATGTAGCTAGCGGCGTCTTTCCGATGGAATACGGATGTGCTGTGCGAGGGGAGGTAATCGGCGTACAGCATCTTCTCTTATCTTAACGTTTACCCTTTAACACTTTATGTGGTTCGGGATACGAGGGCTACGATACAAACACCCACCATTACTTGGCTTGCTGTGATATCGGGACCATAGGCACGATAATCCAAAAATCGAGTGAGAATACATGTGTCATGTGGCGAGTGCCAAGGCTCCCGGGATTCAGTGACAGAGCCACGTTTTTCAACCGTTACGTCCAGCACAACACGGTGTTCAATATATCTCAAATTCATTCTTTTGTCCCCCTCCCCCCTCCCCCACCCCCAAAATCTCCTCCCAGATCCCGAAATACGACAAGAAGAAATGCCGGCACCGAATCCAACCCTTACATCCGAGCTCTCGGCAGCTAAATCAATAATCCTCGCCGTTCACTATGCCTCCTCCGCCGAGCTCAAATCCCTCCGAAGTTTGTTCTCCCTTCGCTCATCCACGTTCCCTAAAGAGATGCAATTGCGTGTGCTTCTGTGCCTACCAGAAACGATGAAGCCAGATCTGTACGTACCCTTAATCAAGGGCGAGCCTGGGGAGACTGTTACGGAGGTGGATACCGCCGCCGTATCGAAGATCTCGGAAAAGAGAGCGAACAAGCGGGTGAAAGAGCTGCCGGCGCTCGCACTACAGACAGGGGGGGTGAGCGACGAGGACATGTTATTGTCATACTTGGTCTGTCGGGCACGGAATATCGATCGGGAAACGGGTGCGCTATCGATCGTTATCGAGCTATTGTCACCCTTTGTTGGCATGGTTACGGGCGTAGACAAGTACCTGGGGGGTATCGTTGATATTTTGGCGAGACTGACGTATGAATACGCAAGTGAAGATGTAGGAGTGGGGGAGGAGGCCGGGGATGAGAGTGGAAAGTTGGAGGTCTTTGAAGAGTTGGAGGCGCGGGTTGGGATTAAGTTGCTGCTGGATCGATGTGGAGGTCGTCAGGTTATTGTTGATGATTTGAGGAGACTTGTGGGGCCTTATTTAGGTGCTAAAAGGAACAATCGTGAGGGGTGGGAGGTTGTTTGGGAGTGGCTGAAGTGTAAAATTGCTGATGGGAACTGGGGGGACTTTGTCGAGGTTGTTACGAAGTGGAATGGACCAGTGGGAGACCTAGGATTGGAAGAAGAGTATGCTAGGCTTTCAATCGCTGGCTGCTATGTGTGTCAGGAAACAGGGCAATCGACGTGGGAGGGGATGCGTGCGATTCATCGAAGGTGCTCAAAGTACGCTAGTGAGAGGCAGGGGTCCAAGGGCCAGAAGCTTCCGGGGAAACTTGGGGATCCGTTCGACAAGGGGAATCCATTGGCGGCCCCAAATGAAGAATCTCTGCGGCTTCTGGGCTTGTTGATAACATCTGCTGGGGTCTTATCGGCTCCCCTGGCGAACGTTGCGGAAATCAGGTTGGGGGGTTCCCACGGGGACCAGGAAGCGTTGCTCGTGAAACATGTACGGAATGGCCCTAACTGGGCCAAACAGAGCGATGAAGAATGGAGAAGAACGAGGGATGGCGTTAAATGGCTGCAGACAAAGGCGAAGGTTTTTGGCACGTTAACAGTTGAAGAGGTAGAGAAGGTTTTACTTAGCGCAATGCTGGCGGCTGCAAAGTTTGGCTTGGTTAAGGAGATTTATGTTAATGGACAGAATGGAAGTCTCGGAAAGGACGATGTAGAGACAGGAATTCTGGATGCCTTCCAAGGGTTTTACGATAATGCGAGCAATGGAAATAAGACTCGGGGGAGCATGAAGAACGCCCTTGGCGTGTATGTTTCTATTTCCCCTCTGTTGTGTTTTGTGGGTTAGACTAATGCTGTTAGTCTTCAAATATTATACCCTCATATATCCAAATCGACAGCTCTTGAGTGTGCATATCGGTTGACCGACGCAACACATGCACTATCCCACTACTCATTGACACTCACACCCGGTGTCCCCTTACTACCAGTGCAAATCCGGATTCACAGTAATCCAATTTCACTAGTCGCTCGCCTCCTGGACTCAAACCCGGGGAGTTTCGCCCAGGCAGAAGCCCTTATAGCAATAGCCCGGAACCTCTGCTTCGGCACTACTGGCAATGACGGCGGCAGGAAAACCGACGCCCGGGTAATAGGAATGTGCATCGAAGCCGCGCTTTCCGAGGGCGACTTCGAGACAGCGTATTCCCTCGGGATGAACCGTCTTGTAACCATGATCGCTGAAAACGAGCAGAGTGTGGACGAAGATGTTGCGGACATGATTTGGAGAGCGTGTTTCCAGGCTGGGAGATATAGATCTCCGTACGCAGCTCTAGTCGGTGAGACGGCGGCCTTTGGCGGGAAGGCTCTCAGAACAGTAGAAATGAGGATGGAACTTCTCGCCCAGGCGTTGCGTTTCTGCCCCCCGTCCGCACTAGCAGAGGTCCTTGCCTCGTGGCGTAGATGCGAAGAAGAGATGCTGGCTGGCTTAAAAGAGGAAGAGGAAGAGGAAGAGAAGCGGGAAGCATACTGGAGTAATAATAATAGTGGGGAAGCCACCAGCACTGCCACCTCCGTGTCCATGAGGAAAGACGACGAAACGCCAATGGGATTATTCGCTGTTGCGGCCGGTGCCGCAAAGGCTCTTCGGGGGACAGCGTTTCCATTGTCCACCTCTCGTGAGAATATCGTCCCCGCCGGGGATGACGCAACAGTGGCAGCAGCAGCGACGGAAGACCAGAAGACCAGGAAGAGGGATATGGTCTCTGGGATGGTGACTAGTGGGCTCGCGAGTGGGTTGGGATGGGTGCTTGGTGCTCAGCCGAACGTGAATCGGGGCTAAGTTGGTCTTGCGGTGGCGGCGGTTTCTAAAGTAGGATGGTAGAATGGGGCATTTGCATGCTTAGCGGTGTTTTTGATTACTTGATCGTTAGTATGAGCGTCGGCTTTGGGCTGGAGTTTGAAAAGTTTGTCTGTATAATACAAGTAAGTTAGGTGTACGCATATGGTAATTGTAGCGACGGTTTTGAGGAGGGTAATTGACTGATTGACTGGATGTCATGTTCAAGATGTGGGGCTGCTGTCGTTGGGCTTGCTGCGCTGTTGTGGGGGGCTTGATAACTGGTTTTCTCTTAAAGTATCATATTTGGGTCGTATTTGGGGATAGCTTAGGAAGTCAGCTCACAGGAAGTCACTCGTGAGGGTTTTTCTTCTAAACAGCGTCGTGTTCGTGGGGGTGCGTACGTTGGACCTACGTAGAGGCAGTGGTGTCTTGGGTCGGGTAATGAGTCAGGCTTAGGCCAATAACCCTACATATGAATATCGTTCAAATACCCACTATGAATTCCGAGGGGGGAAGAGAATGAAGGAAAAAAGGGAAGGGGAAAAAACGTCAAACCTCCGAATTCGGCCTAAAGAGGGATGAAACTGTAGTAACTTGACATAGCACTACGCTATCTAGAAAATTTCTTGCCCATCCGAGGGTTCCCAGGTTTTCGCCTCCCCCCCCCCGTGACACGTTTTGACTAAATTAACTCATTTCTCACTTTCGTGCCCGGTGGGTTCTGATTTAGTATCCTTGGGTTCCATCGTGGTGCTGTGTGAGTACCATGCATATACCCAGTATCCTTTCCTCTCCTTGTATGTGCGTTTAGTGCCGGGGGGTGGCCTTTGCAATGCCGTTCTGGTGGGAATAGAGGGGAAAAAAGGGGGGGGGGTTGAAATTCCTTGGTTGGTTTGTGTACTCTCGCCGCTGTCGAGAGTTGAGAGGAGAATGAGTTTGTGTAATCTGGTCCTAGTTGTGATGCGTCAGGTGTGATTGGTCGGACGTGCCGTGGGCTGGGGAGGCGGAGATTCCCCGTGTCGGCGGGTGTGATATGTACTACCGTATTCCTCTGGGTGGTGTCGTACGATACTTGGATATGTGGGGCTAGTTAGCGATATATATACTACCACTATACGCACATCGTTAGGGAGTTGGAGTTTCGAGAGGGAGTCGAGTATGATAGGAACTAGCGGACCACCTTTTTTCCATCTGGGGGTTTGGCGGGTTTACACTGAGTAAGGCCTTGGGTAGAGCTCACTCGATGTGTTTACAACTTGAGGAGCTGTGGTCGAGTGGGTGTTGGGCTATGGCACTTGCTTCCTTGAGCTCCAGTTTTGCGATAGACGACTTGACAGGGTGGGAAAGAGAGCTGTGTAAACGAGTCTGTGTTTTTTTTGCTCGAGTGAGTTAGAATATCTACTTTGATGAAGGCGGTGATTCTCGCAAAGCTACCTGTCGTACCCGGTATTCCGCTGGGTGGCCATTGCTGAGGTGTTGATATTCGAGGACCCGTAATATTGTCTACCGGTATTGGCCATCACTCTACATACAGCGCTACCGCAGTAACTGTGGTAGGTAGAGCTGGCACTTTTTTGATGCGTCGATTCTGTTATCATAGTATATTCTGTTGGTGCTAGAGAGATTAGCGCTCTGCATTGGGAGTGCCTTACACTGGGAGAGAGTCTCTATCGAGCTATCCTAGGGAAGAGAGGTGGGTGATACAAACGCTGGAGCAGAAAATGTCTAGCATGGGCGAGTGAGTCTCCATGAGTCGCTATATAAGGAGATATGGCAGTAGACTTACTAGATGGAAAATATACAACAAAATATATCAGACAGAGAATTCAAACCTCTCATCTCCGGAATCTCCTACACTTCCAAACATGTGATACCGGATATCTGGAGAAAGGGCTCCGTCTGAGCGTCTCTGCGTGGGGATTCGAGAAAATCCCCTTTCACTTGCAGCGCCCCTACCGCGTCTGAAATCACCACCCGATGGATTTGGGGGAAAACTAACCGGTTAAGAGGGACTTGGGAGTACATGACCACCTGGGGCGGCAAGATGGTGGTTCACTAGGGCTTACCCTTCTTTCTTTTCAATGCCTGCTACATCCACCCTGGTGGGGATCTGAACTCCCAACCTTCCCTATGCGCGTTAGCAGTAGCGGCCCCCCCCTTAACTGTTAGGCTATGGGAACCGGCCAAGAGTATTATGTTATTTTGGGGGTTTTAGAAGTGAAAGTGGTGAAAAGTCAGGTTCTTTTACCTACTAATTTACTGTGCTGGAGAAATTCTCTGGATGATGGACCGGCGCGGAGTAGATTATTGGTATATATATATAATCGTTAATTGGGCTTGCTGATATCACACCGGTGCGACTTCACCGCTAACATCAGTCCGATGCTGGGAATTCCCTCCCTAGCATCTATCGACAGGGTAGTTCTTACTTTTCCGGCCTCGCGCTGATTAATTGTGGCCAATCGTATTCAAACTAAACCTAGATGCCCAACCTCCAATTTTAAATTCTTCTGCCAGCACCCAGATCCAACTATTCAGGAGTCCGCTATATCCCATCTATCTGCACATAAGCTATATCAGCCCAGCAATCACAAAGCACATAGATCAGATCATAGAGCTTGGTACAGAACTCGGCTTCGTGTAAGGTATCATATAGTAGAATGATGCCTCCTTCCTAGGATACCAAAGCTTATGGAAACTCATTATCGGAGTTGGTGACCCATGAGGTGGACACGTGCATTGGCTGGCACAGACGCGTCAGCGGCGATAGTTCGTCTAGCAATGTCGAACCGGTCAGACAGCTGCATATGGAATACCCAGTGCCCGTTCAATGTTTGAAACAGGGCCGTCCATCCGTCAGTCCTGGGTGTAGAGCTGAGCACCAGCCGTGGGACCCCCCGTTTGATGGGAGTTTTGCCCCGGGAATTGGGCCGAAAGCCAAGGAGGATGGCCCTTCTAGTGTCTTAGAATGTGGAACTTGCAGATTTTAGGAGGAACAGGCTGGGGTTCGTGACCAGCAGGTCCACTCTGCAAGGCTTAGTGGAATCTTTGGCCCACATTTAGCATCCTTAGAAGCGAGTGACGCCTTATGATTGCAAAGCGGTAAAGGAATGTATCTATCACAGTTCCTTCTTTGATAACGTGCGAGAAAGCACGGAAAAGCATCCCGGATTCGGCTTGGACCAAAACGCCCCCTTTATATGACATGGGCCATAGGAAGGCAGTGGGGGGAGAAGGGACCGGAGATTCCAGATACTAGAAACCTTCAGGAAAGGCTGGCGAGTTTCAAAGGTTGATGAGAAAAGAGACATGGCGATTATACTGTTTCCAAGGCCTCGTGGCCCAAGATTTCCCCAGTAAATTCTCCACTACCCCCAGCGTTCTCACTGCTTTAGAAGCTACCTACTATAAACCCAAAGGAAAGCGAGAACTCTTTTTTTTAGGGCATCCAGGAAATCAATATGATAAAAAAGTGGTTCACGAGGCCTTAATTTTTTTCCGATCCCTGCTATATCCACTCTGGTGGAGTCGAACTCCCAACCTTCCCTATTCATGTTCCTCAGCAATTAGTCCATGAGCCGGTCAGTAATCTTGTATTTTTTAAATTTTTTTTGGAGCTTTAGCAGTGAAGGTGAAGAGGATTGAGCATTTTTACTTTTTTTTTTTTTGAAAAAACTCTCTGCGATTCATTCGAATAGTCCTGAGCCTTTTTCGCTGCGAACATATTGGATGCATAACAGCTACTCCAAGCATCAGTTGAGGGTAGAAAAGCTCCTTCCTTTGTTTTCCTGTTCACACTTTTAATTCGTCAAGCGTAGCAAGAGACACCTAAGGACTACAGATTGTCTCACCATATCATTGTTAGAGAAAGAGAGAGAGACTTTTATAGCTCGCGCGGGTTCCTACTTGTGGTACAAAAGATAATATATACACCTAGGCGTGTGCACCCCTTTCCAAGAAGCATGGAGCTTATGATCTAATGGGGGGAGGGTTGTTCCTTAGAGCACCTTATTTAGTCTCAGAAGTCTGATGCCAACATCGCAAGACATGGCTATATCCCAACTTGTCTCCAGATCCGGACAGAAGCAATACGACCCCGGGCGACCAGGCCGTCGTCTCAGGGCCTACTCGACCGCAATACGGAATCTTAGGAATATCTCCACTGACTTTTGTAGGTAACCAGACTACGTAATAGGGTCTAGGAAGGACGCATATAAACGGCTCCTCAAGTCGTTTCTTTGAGAGGTTCGGCCTTGTACGGTTCGGCACGCTCGTCTATCATGTCGTGAAATTGAAATCCCTAGTAGGATTGATAGTCTCTGGAATAGTTTATAGGCACATTGAGAATTTAATGATCGAAGAGATTTGTTTTTATTGAAGGGTAATTCGATAGGCCCCGTGAAACTCGATATAGGCTCCGGTTTAGTGCTGTAATGCCGGGAAGGAGGTATAAACTAAAGCGTCCACAAATCAAGTGTTGTCGATTGAGTTATTAAGATCAAAAGCTTCTCCACAAAATAGCAATCACAAAAAGGCCCACCCCAATAGACCAGACAGGAGTTCCCAATTTAAACCACCAAGTCTAAGTGCAAGGCGAGGGTTACAGCATACAACAAACGTTGGCTAATTTCCGCCCACCGGAGAGTATTCGCCCAGTCCCACGGACTATCTCAAGCAAATATTTTACCGCCTTTGCCTGCCTGCGCGAGAATACTTCTTGCCCACTCTCCCGCACTCACAAGCCTCTTCCCCTCAATTTTGATTCCCTCAACACTAATCCATCCCCCCCCCTTTCTGCATTTCACAATCATGGTTTCGTACGAACGCCCGTCATTTATCACTGTCAGGTGTCGGAAAGTGCCCGGCTTGATCTCTGTTTCCTCCGGCGCTCGCTCTGGACGCTCAAAAGCGCTCACGCCAGATAATATGGCACGCTTCCTTCGTTCCAATTCTGGGTTTTCGACGGAAGAAAGTTTACACCACACTGTATTGAGCGTGCCGCAGTGCCTCTCTATTTCTTCTGCATCCTGTGATATCCAGTTGATCCTTGCGTGGATCTCTGGGTCTATTTTGGGTGCAAGTGAAGGTTTGTAATCGTTCTTTACCGGGTTGAGTGGGGGGACAAATAATCCCCGGCGGAGCGTTTCCAGAAGCAGTTCCGCTCCATGCACGGCAAGTGTGTCGTGGAGGGTCCGGTACCGAGTTTTAGGAGGAATGCTGATTGGCGGATTGGTCTGTAGAAGGATTTCTCCGTCATCGAATTTCGTTGGGTGTAGAGTCTGGACACTAACGCCGGTTATGGGCTGCTGGTCGAGGAGAGTATGATAAATTGGTGCCGCACCGCGGTACCTAGATAGCCTGCGTAAGAAAAAACTGCAGGCAAGTTGGTCAATTCTGGTGTGGGCTTACATGGGCAGTAGCGAAGGGTGGACGTTTAGTCCACCGTACTTTGCGTCACCGATTGATCGAGCGGGAATGAGGAGGCCAAAGGAGACGGCGATCAACATGTTGATATTCTCGCCGAAGCTATTATATGGGAGCTCTTTCACAGTGAGCCTTCGCGGTCACACCCACTAAATAACCATGAGACAAGGGCGGGAGTCGGTAGGGGTGAAATACATTCCAATCACTCCCAAATTCGCAAACCTCATGACGAGGGAGAGAAAGAGACTTGGCCAATGATTTGACCGGAACTATCACCCCCGCAAGAATTGATCAACCTCTATCGCTTAAACGAGTGGACTCAGTTGACGGACCCTCTCTAATAGTCTTCATGCCACGACCAGATCTTTTGTCTTCGAGAGTAAGAACATCTATTGAGCGGATAAGATCGCCATTGGAAAGGTGCTCATTGTGAAGGGCTTTGAGTGAGACTGTGCTGAAATGGTCCGACCCACAGAAGAGGATCTTTAGTGGTTCTTTTGCGAGAGACTCTGTAGAAACAGAGCGGAAGTGAATAGGCGAAGTACATCGGGAACAAATAGGAAAGGTTCCGGGAGACGCCGGATACAGACGGCCATGATAATGAGTGTACCCGGCGAAAGAAACCAACGACCTAAGAAACCGCATCGAGTCGAAGAGGGCGAACGAACCCAGGAGTGTATATGACGGTACTGGAGGCTTGAATCTACCTTTATAGTCCAGGGCCCTCTTTTTCGGCCCCAAAGACAATATTTGGTGATGTCGAAACGATTGCAGTGGAGTTTGAAGTATTATGATGGTGGGACGAAGAATGAGCGCCAATAAAAGCCCCCAGCCACATCCCGCCAATTTAAGTATTCTAGCGCCTTCACATCTTCTCGGCACCATAACGGGCCCCAGCGAGGTACTTGTACCAACCCTCTAGTGCAACACCAGAATCAAATCACAAGCCACTCGGTATCAACCTCACCACCATTATCACCTCAATAACCATACCAAAGCTTGAATCCTGTCCTCCAATACTTCCTTGCTCGAGGGTGCTCACCTTAGACCTTGTCTTAGCCCCCAAATGCACCACCCTCTCCCATGACCTCCTCGAATCTTGCCAATCCTCCCCTGGCTCCTCTTCCTCCTCCCTCGTCGCTCGTTCCAACTGTTTCTCCCGCTACCCTATCCTCACTTGCCATCTACAACCCATCGCTCGGCCCGACAGACGAAACGGTCCATGATCAGATCGTATTCTATACCTCCCGACGTGGAAATGCCATAACGGCCAATGACAGATTGCGTCAGATAGGGCTAGCCCAGGGCGTCGTTGAGTTTGCCCGGTAAGCTTAGGTATCTACTTCCGTCGTCGGGCTCTACTCGCAACTAACCTTCGAGCTCCTACGCGTGCCAGCGGCTTTTCTAAGACCCAAAATCTCAGTTCTGTCGAGACAGAGAAGTCAAGGATAGTTACTCTGGAGATCGAGGAACCTGGTTGGTGGATTCTAGCTGTTGGTCTTTTCTCTTCGCGTTCCTCCCCCACACAAGCTCTTCTCATTGCCTTCGTCACACATGGCCACCCGATCTAACCAACCCATAGCAAATTGATCTAACAGTTATCCATAATCCCTCAACATACCCCCCCACAATCAAGTATACTTCCCAGGAAGTCTCCCCTCCAGCACTTTTACTGGCTGATATTCGGCAAGCTTACGGCCAGTTCCACTTTCATTATGGCTCCTTTGCCGCAAATTTTGCCCGTCTCGGGAGATCAGCGTTCTGTAAACGACTCGAGAAGTTCTGGCTACGTTGGGCTTGGGGGAGATGGGAGGTGATGCTTCATGCATCTCCGGCGACGGGAATAATGGGTGGTGGAGGTATAAAGATGGCTGGTGGAAAGCCGGGTAAAGAAATGGGGAATGAGGAAAGAGAATTCCTAAAGGGATGGGCCGATAAAGAGAAATCAAAAGGACTGGTGGACCTGGTAGCCTCCAGGTTTGGAGAACCACCGGAAGAAAGTAAAAACGCCAAAGGGAGTGAAAGCCACAGCGGCTTTTGGTTTTGGAACAGCTCGAACAAGCTTTCAACAGCATCCACTCCTCCACAAAAAGGCCAGCAAGGGCAAGCTTTAATTATGCCACAGGATGGGTGCATTCTTCCTGGCACGGGGGTACTGGACAGCAGGTCCATAAGGGATGTAGCAACTTACTTGAGCGAGCTCTACCAATATGGCGATGAATCTTTTTCTCGATCAAGTGCGGGTTCTCGGCTAAAAAAAACTCGAAACAGGCCCAAAGCACCAATCAAAGGCGGTTCGGTGGAGAGTCCCGCGCCAACAAACCCCTCAGCCTCCGGACCCGCAAGTGCAGAGCCGCAAGCCATGTCATCCCCCCCGGAGCTAGCCGCCAGCCTGGCCATAGATGAGTCTGTCGAAGACGGAAGACCCCGAGGAGGAGCGAACGAAACCTCCCCCCAGATAGCACAAGAGTTGTCCAACAAAAAGCAAGGCCCCGGCAATACCAATGCCAAAATATTGAGCCTGCTCACGTTTGGATGGACTGGGGGCTCGGCGCTAGGGAAAGACACTAGGATCAGAGGCACAGATTCTATCTCTCCATCCCCTGCACCCTCGTCCCGCACACCTTCTCCTGCGCCAGTGAAGGTTGTGGATCCCCAGGCAGTAGAGGAAACTGGCGGGCCTGTTGGTAGGGTGAAGGATGAGAAGCCCAAGAGAGCCAGATTTATAATTGGGTTTATGGGTGATCTGGACGTGGAGGATTTGGATGAGAGCGAATCCGGGGGGAGAATTACAAGCAGAACTATTTGGGCCACAAGAAGCGTCACAGGAAATGAACCGGATGCGCAAGCTCAAGGTGATGCTACATCAGATGGAGGCCTTGAAAGAAGAAACAGCGGGACACCGACTATTAAGCAAGCCGATTTGGAAGAGCTTAGAATCGTCATATATGCAGTATTACCCATTTACCCTTCGCAACTCCCCGTCCTCCTTACTAAGCACATTTTGTACAGAATCATCCTTTTATACTCGCTTTTATATTTGAAAAATCAGCCCGGCACCTAACGTCACCATCATTTTACCGAACCATACATCACCAGCTCGCACCACTCTACGAGCCAATGTTGAAATTTTCTCCTCTGGGCGAACTCAAGCTATCGCTCAAGGTCCCAGGTTTATCATCCCCAATCCTCAAGCCGCCTTATGATATCTTGTACAATCCAAAGACGGGGACAATTTATTGCACCCTCCCGCCCATTCCTGAACCGGCATTAGAGCCGGTCAATCCTGGAGCTGGGGCCGGGTGGACCAGAGCAGATGCTTTCCATGTCCACGCCTTGATCCTGGGAATACTGGGTGAGACGACAGGTGATAGGTCGGAAAGAGAAAGGAGCGCGCGAAGTACAAAAGGTTGGTGGGTAAACTGGACGAGACTTGACGGTGGGGTGGAAGGGATTGTAGTTCGAAGGGCTGGTGAAAAGAAGGTAACGGACGCTGCGGCGGGGCTGGTCGGTGCCAGTGGCACGGGAGAGGGAGTGGGGGGGATTGATATTAGGAGCTACTTTGAAGGATTGGTCCGCGGCGCCAAGTAAGGACGGGTACGATGCCCACTCCTGCTCTCGTGATATGTTCATGCTATGCGTATATACTCTTTCGTAATGTTGATTTCCTAGAAACTTGTCTTGGATTCACGATTACTTTTTTTTTCTTTTCTCCTCATCTTCTTATCCCACCCGGTGCCAGACGCAGCTGCCGGTCAAAATTTCGCGCCCTCAATCCCGCCGAAGCCCCAGACCTGACGGCAGATCTCTTTCAGACCGTCACTTCGGTGAGAAGCACCCCGCAACCCCAATCCACCCACAGCATCAAATCACCAATCTATCCGCCCGTCATGCATGACGAAGTGACCGAAGAGCCGGGTCAGGCTAACCTAGACTATACCATACGTAACACTGGACGGGAAGAGAAGAGGAGAAAAGAAAGCCCACCCCCGCAACCCTTGGACAGGAATAGCAAAAGGGAAGAAAGCGCTACACACCCCTCTCCCCTCCCTCACGAATCACCGAGTAAAGTGAAGTAAAGTGAGCGAATGACTAAGGAGCAATTGAACTGTTTGTCTTTTTTTCTGCTTGTTTTTTTTTTCCCCCCTCCCCACCGCCTGCAGCTGCGTGGGGACGGACGGACGGACGGACGGACAGTACGCGCACACGGCACGGGAAACGAGACGAAACGACGGGCGGGTCAACCTATCACACAACGCGAATGACGATGACAAACGAGGGATCCGACGAATGAACCTCCGCTACGATATCCACTTTATCCCAATGCACTCGTAATAAGTATCATACCATACCCAAAGGAAAGGTGCGATAATGCACTCGCTGTCCAGCAGAGCAGCGGCGGTGGCGGCGGCAGTAGCGGTGAAGAGTTGGGATTGTACTTGTCGAGTTTTATGGCATCATAACCGTATGAGACGATATCTGTGGGACTGAGCGAGTGGGTTCCGAGGGCTTGAAATGGATTCTACAATAGTTACCATACCATGGATGGATACAGCACTGTACTCGAGTACTCTCGTTCCAGAAGACCCGGGAGGTGCGAGATGGCGCTTTGGTTCCCTTTTCGATTGGGTGAGGGTTCCAATAGTCAACTATGGTATGGATAATAAATAGTCAATTAGCATCAAGTCTGATGTTTTTTTTTGAAGTTTAGAATAGCGATGGATAGAACCAGCATTGCGGGAAAGCCACTGTGGCGGGGGTCATTATGCACTTGCCACCGCACGAGTATGGTAATCATCGTATTACACCGGTAGAGCACAGTACATACCGTGCGCAGGTGCATAAGTGATAGCCTATGACAGGAGGTGATGATGATAATATCATTATGATACTGTATCATGTCCAATTTATATATCATACCAGAGCCCACGTAGCCCCAACCCCACCACCCACCGATACTGGTGATCTCCCGGGGGGGTATGATATATACAGTACTTGTATGATACCTATGATACCCACACATGGACGGCTATGACATATAGCATACAATATCGTACATATGATACGATACGTATGATATCATACGACATGGGAGGAACCAAACAAACCCCCCAAAACAAATACTGCGAACCCACCCCTTTTTTTTCCCCACCGTAGTGGGATGTACAGTACCATAGAGGGCATGTACGATACTGCATATATATATAATACCGGTACCTCTATTCATCCCCATGCAAGAAATCGGAGGGAAAATCGAAAGAAAGCAAAGCACAATAATGGAGGAAGGGGGGTAAACAGACCGTCGTATATATCATATACCGTACAATGTGCAGTACTTATATCAAGGCATAGCTAAATACCGGTATCCACATACGGATCGACGGATCCAGTAAGTTCCCGCCTCACCACATTTACAGAAGCACAATGGAGAAATAAATCGATAAATAAATAAATAAATAAAGCAGATGTCCAGATATTAGAAGTTGTCCCCGGTGGATGAATGGATGGGATGGGATGGGAAGGTAACGAACGATCTCCACGACCGATGGATGTGATGAATACATGACATGACCTGAACTGTACTGAACTGAACTGAACTTGCCTGGCCTGACTTGACTTTGGCCGGGGCTAGGTTGGACCCGAAAGAACGAACGAACGAGCGAAGGAGGAGAGGGAAGCAAGCAAGGAAGTATAGAAGGAAGGAAGACCGCGCTGGTTACATACTCGAGTACTCGTACGGTACGATGGACAGCCTACACTGCACGCAATTGCCGAGTCGAGAGCGATCGTGGGGTTGATGTATGCATGATACGATGTATTTCAGATATGTATCATAACAAGTATGTATGTATGTATGTATGCATGCCTGTACGTATGTATGTAGGTATGTAGATAGGTACGATATGATATGATATTGCGGAGGGGGGAAAAAGTTGGTGAGGAAGGAAAAGAATGATTCCCCTATTATTATTATTATTATTATTTCTCCTTTCTCCCCCGCATATACACGATAACAGTTATTATGTAGTTCCGTGATGAGAGTGATTCTGGTGACTTTTTTTTCCTTCTTCCCTTTTTTCCCCCCTCTTGCGGATTCTCTGACGTTTGTTCCATCCCGGGGAAAACACCGGTAATGATACGACAACCGTGTGATATGATACCGTAACCGCGCCGCCAGTGCTTCTAGACCCTCGAGAGCGGCGTAGGGACGTGATAGTATGATACGATTTTGCTACGGTCAGTGATTTGTCAGATACCCGCCGGTGAAACGGTTCCGAATACACACACCAAGCGTCTTCACCCCCCATCACTCGATTTCACGGAAATGGAGAAAGTGTTGAAAGAAAAGAAAAAAAGACGACGGCTTCTTCCCCCCCCCACCCCCCACCACC